GTGAATCTGTGCAAAATTAAATGGTAATGTTGTTCAGTTTGTGCTGGAAAGATGGATGCCTCTCCTACATGACTCAGAATATTCTACCGATTCTGGACAAAGAGGAGGACGTTATTAAGTATTAGCAGGCAGGAAATGTGGCCAGGGGACCAACCACTTGCCACCACGAAAATGTGAACCCATTTTTCTCATGTGCTGGTTAATGTCATGTGACAACTTGGATGTGGGGTGCTTTTTTTAAAGGCTGGCAATGGTAACAATAGATTTAATTTATTCCCATAAATCCCACCCTCATGAAGAAAACAATATTTCATAACATGGAACATTACCAGAGGGACCATAATTCATGGCGAAAGGGTCAGAGCTTTATAATAGATGGGTTTTCGGAAGTGGTTGGGAAAACCTAAGATCCAGCCCCAGCAATTCAACTGATAAGTTTGAAACATACAAAAGAGCTCAAGCATGGTACGGATGGCCTGGTCCCTGTCACCACAAGCCCACCCCAGCAATTAACAGGCCTGGCTGGGCTGCCAGAAACCAAACTGTGATTGATTTTTCTGTGCGAGTGAGTACCAGCGGTGCCCTCCATTGCGAATGCCGTATTAATCCCGGGAAGCGCTGGCGCTTCAGAATGGCCGTGTGGGCGAGTGACACCTCTGAAATCGCAATTCTTTTAACCTGAATTCTCAGCCACTGGGGAAGCCTCTCTTTCACCCAAAGTTCTCCAGACAACAATCGAAACCTGTAGTGTGGGCTATTTCTGTGCACTCTTAGGGCAAATCCGTAACACGGAGCCTGAGCAGCAAGCCAAGCTGGGCTGGGGATCGCCCCAGCTCTCTCGCTGGACAGATGAGAAAACTCAGGCCACGGGGCAAAGCTCCTGGTCCGAGTTTCCCACAGAGGGAGCAACCCAGTCGGGAGCCCAACTGAGGTCTCCTGAGTCTGTGAACATGTATCTATAGTAACATCATACATATGATACACCTGTGTGTGTGCACTGGAGAAAAGTGGCTTTTAAAAAATCTAAAGACACACCGAGGAATGTTTTAACAAGGCCCTCGATGAGCATTACTTGCCACAGCCTTAAGGAGAGGAGGTGTACGTCATGGGCACAGGACTCCCCCAGACAAAGCAGGCAGGAAGTGTGGCACCCAGCAGAGGCGAGCTGCCGGGCATGGGCCACCCGGGGGTTGTGGGGGGAATCCCACGGCCCAGGATGGCAGAGACCCACTAAGGGGAACAATTAGGACGGTGGGCAGGGCCCCATCTCAGCCGACCAGAGCTCGCTCAGCACTCCGTTCTGAGCCTGCCTTAAGTCCTCACACACTGTTCCTGCGCTTTTCCACCGCAGCCAGCTTGGAGATTTCTGGTGTACACAAAACCAGGCCGCTCTCTTCTGCTTAAAACCCGCCACCGGCTTCCTTCCTCTGACCCCCAAATGGCCATTCGCTCTCTCCTCTGCTTGTCCCCTTCACACACGTCTCTCCTTCACGCACGAGCCCCAGCAACACCCGCTTCCTTCAGACCCCGGGACAATGGGTGTTTCTGCCTAACGGGCTTCTCCTTTGCACGTTCCCCTGCCGGTTCCCCATGTCCCCCCTTCGCTGGTCCTTCTCGGCATCCTCTGACCACCCCATCTGAAGTGGCCCTCCCTGCACGCCACCAGCACGCCACCCTGTGATATTTTCTTCACGGCAGGTATCCCTCTAGAAGTCACTGATTTGCATGCTTGGCACCGATGTCCCCAGGCCAGACTGAGTTCCATGAGAACGGGGCCCTTGCTGTCTTGTCCACACTCCCTTATCCTCAAGGCCCGGAAGGCGTGTGGCACAGTTACCCATTGCAAAACTCGCTACACTCCAGAGGTATCAAAAGTTACTTGGGCTGGAAGAAAAAAACCCTCCAGTAGCAAGATGCCAGCTCTAGGGGGCAGGGAACGGAGGAGGAGGGAAGGCTATGCCTCTTTGGGTCGGGGTCTGGAACAGACTTGGGAGCACAGCGCAGAGCCGAGAATTAACTCAGCGGTGAGATCTTTCTACTGTGCCCACTTACGCTTCCCAACACCCTGCCGAGTGGTATCGCTTGATTTCCAGGCCACTCGCTCAGTTTCTATTCGATTTCAGAATCAAGGTTGAGCCCATGGAAGAGCATTCCAAAGGTGCTCCAGTAACTTCAAATGAGGCGTGCGTGTGGTCCTGACTTCATTATTAAAGGGCTGAGATAAGTGCTCTGACACTTGAGATTCTAGGCATGTGTGCACACAGAACATTTTCAATTGCCTCTGACATCGTGAAGAGCAAGTCCGTGGCACTTTGGAATTTCTGAGAGCCATCTCCTGGCTCTGAGCTCTGAGGACAATAGAGAATCTAGGTCAGGAAAGGCCCTTTGAAAACGTGGCCCCGTGGCCCTAGAACTTACACATATGGAAGGCCCAGCTGCGGGCCCGCTGTCCTCGACAGTCCTCACGCCCTGGGTCTCACCACCACAGCAAGTGGCATTTGCAGATGAAAGAACCAACAACACTATGAAGGCCCAGGAGCAGAGGAGAAACACGCTCCCACGTGCACACAGCACAGATGTGGCAGAGAAAGGCCCAGCGGTAGCTGCCGCACTGTCACCGACTGTAACAAGATTGATCTGCGAGGAAATAAAAGGTAATGTAATCCAGAGGAAATAACCGCAGCTCCCTCTGAGGACATCTGATGTTGTCAACTTGCAAGCCTGCGTCCCTCTTCTCCCGCCACGGTGACAGCAGCCCAAACACACAGCCTCCTCTGGGCAAAGGGGCCCCACTCACTCACTGCCAGACCCACGCGCTTGCAAAGCAGCAGCCCCCCAACCGCCCCAAAGCACGCTGGGCCTGGAGGCCCCAACATGGCAGGGGCCAGAGCCAGTCGGAGTCACCCTGCATGAAGGGGCTTCAGAGATGAGCCCGTGGCTCCTATCCATCCGCAGCCACCTAGTTTGGGGATTATTCCTAGCACAGTTCACAGCCTCCAGGTTTCCAGAGACTGGCACAATTCTGCAACAGAGTTTCAACCACAGAAGACGTCGCAGAGTCATACGTTAGGTTCTGTCTGTAAGACACAGAACCCGTTGTCTTGGTCCAATGCTCCTGTCACTGGTCCGTTTTTACCGTCACATTTTACTGAGCATTCATTTCACAGGAAGAACAGCCAGAAGCAAAGGTAAGGAGGAGGGACCAGCTGGCAAGTTCTGTGCCATCATTTCAAGAATCTCTCTGCATACAAAATGGTCCTCTAAGGCTGGTGCCATGTAAATAATTCACAAAAGCCAGCTTAGTTCTCTCCGTTGGAAGTCCTAGTAATATCTTATAAGGGAACTGCCACCCACCCACCCGTGCGCGGGACAGCGGGCAGCGAGCAGCTTCCGTCTCTGGAAGATGCTATTACGTCTCGATAGCCCGTGATTTGCAGATGATTATAACTTTCACTCTGCATATCCCTGTTACTGACAGGCAAACACCATCCATCAACTGGCATGACTGATTCGAAAAGGAGGCAAACTTGACACAGGCAGTCTGATGGGCCATTTTTTACGCCGACGACAACAACCAGGAACGCTCCTGTGTTCCAGAAAGCCTTTCCAAACTCAAACGTTCCGCACCTTGCAAGGAGAAACACCATTCGGCACTGGGTTGTACTTGCACTCTTAGCTCACAGAACAAAAACACTCCACTCCCTTCCCAGGGCTCCCCCCTGAAACCCCAAGTTCTCGAGGAAGAAAACGGACTGCAGCAGGGGCAAGGCTCCGACAGCAACCCTTGCCTTCTGTGTGCAGGCGCGGCTCCTGCTCGGTGTTGCTCGTCTCTTGGTCTCCAACCAAATGGAACTTATTACTTGTAGCGTGTTGGGATCTATGAATTATTTATAAAAGTAGGTCTATGCCTCCAGACTCTTAAAAGATAACGCAACAGTCCCCTCACCCTTAACATCCACAACTGCGCTTTTATGAGGGAGAGTAGGCAGACATTCTCCGTAACACAGGCTGCCTGTTGGGGGTAAAATAATAGTTGTGAAAATAGCAAGCCTCGAAGATTATTTGGAAGCTATTTACGGAATGCCTGGGTGTATTTTTAAACCAGTCTCTTATTCCGAGCCAGGCTTGGATTCAAGAGAGACGTAGCAGGCTGCGCTACAAACATGTTTCCCAGCTTGAACACAAACAGTGACTCCTTGCCGCTTTGCCCGCTAGCTTCAGACTGGGATTAAAAAATAAAAAAGGGCAAGAGGCTGTTCCCCTTTCATTATACGTCTAGCAGGTTCCACAAGGCCATGGCCGTGAGTGACCCGGAGCGTGGTGGCTGCGCATCCGAAGTGGGGACTAAGACACGCACCGGAAGGCACAGTCGGGGGTTGAGCTTTCAGCCCCCAGCTCCCCAGAACACGTGACCTTGGCAGGCAAAACACACGCGACACGGCTCACCCCGGCCTGGCTCTGTTTCTGTCACAGGCCCAGTTGGAGGGGTCACAGGGGACACCTGGGTTGAAGGGCACACAGCGACCAGCCAGCTGTGGTTCTGCCCACACCGCCAGGACAGCGGCACATTTGTTTGGTGAAGAAACGCCCGTGTGAAGCTGGCACGTGGAGCTCTGGCCCAGCTTCAGGCGCCCTGACGGTGCAGGAGTGCTGAGGATCGGGGCTCCACCTGACCCCCTCCGGAGACACCTGCTCTTCCCCATCTGACACGTCCTACAGCGCCCCTGCCCCAGACAGGGGCGCGGCCACACGCCCCACCCCCGTGCCCCTGCGCCAGTCATCCAGGCCCCGTCCCTCCCATAAACATGATCACGAGGAAGCAACCCGAAGCTGGATGGCACAACAGGTCGTCTCAAGCCACTGTCCTCATGGTGCCTCCTAAAGCCCCCTGGGACACATCAGAGAGACTGAGAGGCCCCATGACCTCCTGCACCCAGACAGCCCCTTGCTCCCAAAAGAGCACAGCCAATGGGAAAGCAGGCAGAAGACTGTGAACTTACCTTGCTGGAAAACATCTGCCGGGAGGGAGGAAGAGCAGCAGCGGAGGAGAGCGGGGAGAGAGAGAGGAGAAAAACAAATTAATAACAATGTCGAACACGACAACGATGATAATCACAGCTAACACACTCTAACTGCCGGGCACGCTTCATGCCTCGGTTCCTTTAACTCGGAGGCAGTGGTTCAGAGCCTGGGCTCTGGGATGCAACCGCCTGGGTGGAAAGCCTGGCCCAATGCTCACCAACGCGTGGCTGACACTCTCTAAACCACACACAGACCAGAGTACTGGGAAGGTTAAATAAATCATGGCCGATGTTTCAAGGGCTGAGAACACGGCCCAAGACATAGTAAACACGCCAACGTTGGTCATTCATACTATTAATACTCTTTATTTTCACAACCACCCTATAAAGTAGGTTGTGTGATCGCTCTCGTTCTACAGATAGGGGAAACCGAGGCTCTGGGAGGCTGAAGAACTCATCCTAAACCACAGACGAGTAAGTAATGGGCTCAGGAGTGAACGCAAGCCTATCCGATTCCAAAAAGCATCTTCTTACCCACTGCTGAGCTGCCTGACTAGTTTATACAGAGCCACGAAAGCAACAAGGACACACAGAAAGATAAACAGAGGAAGGGCCTTTGCCCTCACTCAAGTTCCATATATAAGTCTCGTTAACAAAACATCGGTGTAGATTCTCCACACCGTAACTCACAACTAGTAACACCATGTCCTCATATTAAATCCTAGCTCAAAGGCTGTTGAAAGGTGAAAAAACTTATTTGTTTCCACAAATATCTGTGAGACTACTCTATGCTAAGCACAATGGCTGGCACTGGGGACCACCCATCTAGCGAAAAGCATCAGTGAACGCACAATCACTAACAGCCGCCTCCAAGGGAAACCACTCACGGGACTTCTATCCTCTTCCATTGGTTTTGACTACTTTGGAACATGGTATGAAGGGACTGATACAGTGTGAACCTTTTCTGCCGCCTTTGCTCCGCAGCGATGGTGGGCCCCACACGCTGTAGTAGGTATTAGACCATTCACGCTCACTGCTGGATGGTATTCCACTGTGTGAGTAGAGCGTGATTTTTAACCTTACGTGAGCATTTCTGTGTTATTTTAATTTTTGACAGTGAACATGCCTTATATTTCCTGAACCTTAAAACAAGTTATTTGCATCTCAAAAACTGAGTAAGAACTGTATCATCAACACCAAATCTGCTGTCAGTCATCAGCTAAAACATCAGCTCCTACGAGGTCACCAAGAGCCAAGGGCCCGCTGGATGGCGTAAACACAACATGCACCTGCTGGGCTAAGCAGACTGCAAGGACAGAACACCTGTGGAAGCAGGTGTCAGTTCAGTGGCGCACATGTGACCCCTCTGAGGAATGCCATTCACATTCAATACACGTGTTCCCAAGGGTACACCCAGGCCAGACTGCAGACTCGCAGTTCCCAACTCCAGGGAGCTGGCTTACCCACCGCCCTTTCTCCCGCGCTCCTGAAAGCCAACTGGGATGTAAATGGCCCATCTGGCACCCTTACAGGCCAACTTTAACTCTGCTCTAATTTATATGTCTTCTCCATCATTCTGTAACCTCAGTAACTCACCATCAGCATGGTGTGCAATGCCACTCACCTCCCAGCCCCCGACACTGTCCAGAAACTGAGAAGGACCGTGTGAGCTCCCTAAGCATATACCAGGCCGCACGCATTTGCTGCCTCCCGCGGAGTCTGAACCACCCACTCGGACCAACCCACACACCTGGAGGAGGCTTCCCCCTCAGCCTGCAAATGTCATAGCCACTGTGAAGTTTCTCAGAGCCTGTCCCCACAGAGAGGGGCGTCACTGTTTCCGCCTCTGTGCTCCTTGAGTAATTTGTACGCGTTGCAATTATAGTTCCTAGTATAATTAGTTATTTATGTAGGCCCTGAGCTCCTGAGGACAAGAGGTAGGAGTCTTAATCACTTTTTGTGGGTCCTCACTGCCTGGCATGGTATGCTCCCCTAGGAGGGAAGGAAAGAGGGTTGGTCTGTCTCAACATCCGCCTGGTCCGACCCCCTCATTTTACAGACAAGGAAACTGAGTCCACAGGTGTAAGAGATTCTTCCCGAGGTCCCACATGGCGTGACAGGCTGAGCCAGGGCGACATGAGATCCATTTAACCTCAACGAAGCACAAAAGCTCATCCCTATTATTAGCAAAGTACAAATTAGAGCTTTATCATTCTCCTCTAATGAATACAGACAAAAGTTTCCAACCTTGAAAACATCAGTGAAATGAGATTAAGTCTTTCAAATACAGATCCAGTCTCAACATCCGTCCAGAATCCCCAACCTCCTCCCCACAGCCTTGGAAAGGGAGTGCAACCTTCGGAATTCGGTGCAGATCTGAATCGCTGGAAAGCATGGGCGGGCAGGGAGGCAGGAAGTTCAGGCGGGGATTTACGGTAGTGACCTTCTTCCTTCCAAATCCGCTGGGTCTTCCATGCCTTAGCAGACAAATCTGCATAAATACTATCTTCTCTCCCCCAAAACTCTCTTGATTTTCATATAAGCTATTCTAGATTTTCACAAGAACCCCTTTTCAGCTGCATTTACCCTTGCACCTTTTTATTCAAATGAAAATTTTAATCAACACTAGTATAAATATTGCAACAATTTTTGCCAGGGGTTATCTTGCAATTTACACTGTACACTCATGTCTGTTGTAGTCTGTGGTATGAATCATTTGGCTCTTAGCATTTTTTAGCTCTCTGCTCTGTATAATAATGGCTTGAGTGCCTTCTTTTTTTTTTTTAAGATTTATTTATTTTTTTTATTTTTTTTTTTAGAGAGGGAAGGGAGGGAGAAAGAGAGAGAGGGAAAGAAACATCAATGTGCGGTTGCTGGGGGCTGTGGCCTGCAACCCAGGCATGTGCCCTGACTGGGAATCGAACCTGCGACACTTTGGTTCGCAGCCCACACTCAATCCACTGAGCTATGCCAGCCAGGGCGAGTGCCTTCTTTAAAATTGTACTGTTCCTGGCTAAATCTTCCATCCAGGCTCAGGCTCAAGTGATGCAAGGACAGAAAAGAAAGTAAGTGAGAAGATGGTCAATTTTGTGCTGTTCGGCTACATTTTACCTCCCTCTCCCAACCGCAGACCTCATAGGACACTAGCCACAAAAATACTCTCACCATCTCCCAGGCTGCTGTTCGTGTCCAGCACCCCCATCTTCCAGCCCACCGGGATTGGTAGATACAACCAAACTGCCTCAAATTTGCGTGTGATCTTCTCCTTTTAGTCTAACCAACCTCTACGAATTCTTGGGGAGTCAATTACACTCTCTGAGCTTGAGCTTCCTCATGGGTGACCTGGGTGTATTTTAACATCCACAACACTGGTGTTGGGAAAGTTAAGTTCGCTAATTTACACCAACCTTTCCCACCAGCGGCTGTGGAGAATGTCTGAGAAGAAGACCCAGCCTCATCTTTTTTTGTTTTCCCTGAAAATGGAAGTCACACAGTTCAGAGCCGGGAGCTTCCAGTGCCCACCCTGACCACCAGTCGGGTTGAGCCCGGAGGACTCCAGGGACACTTGTGCAGAGGAAATGAACTCCTTCAGACAAAGCTCTGCTCTTACTCACGTCCCAAGGGAGAAAACCTCAAACCCCAGTCCTTCCCTGGAACAAAGAAAGCCTGTTCCCCAGCCCCACCCCCACCCCCTGGAGCCATTCTGATCCTATGGATGGATGAAAGGCCGGGTATAAGTTGGTGACTCAGACACGCAAAGAAGAAAATAAGACAAAAGGAACTTAGTTAGATAAGCCTCAAGTCCCGTTTCTTCAGTGAGGAAAGAGCATCAGGGACATTTTCCCTCCTCCCCCACAGCTACCGAGAGAGATTCACACCCCAGAGACCCGTAATGCTTGGAGTCCTCCGGAGACGGGGGCCGTAAAAAGACTAGATTATTTATTAGTATTAATAAGTTATGGCAATTAGGCTGGATGATTCCTTAACGTGGCTGATTAAAAACTTTCTTGAGTGTTACTCATCCACACGGCCGGTGTTTACCTCTGTTAAAAATGATTTAACTGCACTCTGGGTGAACCCCCCTCTTGAGCCCGGGGTTAATAATTAGCGGTGCACAGAGCCACGCGAGTTAAGTGAGTTGGCTCTCCTTTATTTATCTATTGCTTTCTTTTATGGGCAGAACTGGATGGCAGTCTCATTGCCCATTCAGTCTGCTAAGAACAATTTACTATTTCAACCCACAGTCCGTAACTATGGTTAGCAAAGCTCTCGCTATTATTACGATATCACACTTAGCCCACACCCCACAGCACTAAAGATATGCCAAACAGTGGAAGTGTGCGTGACTTCCATAAGACCAGGGGAAAGAAAGCTACTAGTTCTCAAACAATGTAATCACACTACTCTCTCAATTTTGCTTTCTTTTCTAGGTTAAATTATATATGAGGGGAGTTTAGTTTCTTGAAAATGCATGCACTTAACTCCCATTTAAGAAATCTCACCTGGGGAGACAGCTGTCTTGTGAGTCCCCCTGTGGTTTGAGCTCCTGAGTGAAAATTCTCTTTCAAGTACAAGTGCTTTTACAGTAAAGCACTGGACATTTTACTGGGACCCAACTAACCAGGGGCAAAGGAAGGGAGGTGGGGAAGAGCTGGAATAAATACTGATTCCTAGAGTGGGTCAGGTCCACCAACAGCCGGAGTAAATTTCAAATGGGTTAGGCGGCCCCCTCGCCGGATTTCAAGAACCAGCAGGCTCTATGCACAGATACGAAGAGTGCCAGAATTCAGTCTGTGATCTTGGTGCTCCGCCAGTCTCTGTGAGTCAGGTGAATTTCCTGTGTTACAAAGCGGGTCCCTCCAATGCCTCCCTCCCTCTTGTTGAATGCGCACACTCCAGAGGAGATCGGCTTCACATTGACCAAGTCTAGGTCCAAAAGCCTAGGGCCTGCCGCGGAGGGCAGGGTTATCTCCTCTCCCAAAGACAATCCAGCG